TAAAATTGTGAATGTTTTGGCCCGTGGGTCAGGGGTTCTGGTTTTAGGGCGGTGCTGTATTAATTATATATGGTCCGTGTAACACTTAACAATTTAAATTTCTAAAATGATTTAGAGTTTTAGAATGTTAATATATTAGTTCAAATTTCTAAATTTCGAAAATTCAAACTGATCTGGTATATTGAAATTTAATATTTTGGTTCAAAAATCTAAATTTTCAAATTTCCAAACAGGTTTAAGAATTTTAAGTTTTTAGATTTTTACCTTAAACATTCAAAATTCAAATTTCCAAAAACAAATTATGTATTTTAAACTTTTGAGTTTTTAATCTACTGTTTGTTCAGAAAGTTTACGCTAAACAATCTAAAGTTCAGTACATTGTCTGTACGCCGAGGCTTTTATCTTTCAAACAACATTTCGAGACCGAGGAGGTTATTCTGCAACATTCACGCAAGTACGGAGAGTTTTACGACTTTTGATATTTCAAAATTTACTTCAAACTTCTAAATTTCAACTTTCAAAACGTTTTAGATTTTTTAAAATTTAGAACATTGATTCAGACATTCAAATTTCAAATCACCAAAACTCTTTGAGTGTTTAGATATTTACTTCAAATATCCAAAATATCAAATTCCAAACCTGATTTGAATTTAGAAACTATTTCAAAAACACTTTTGATTAAGCAAAAGAGCTTTTAGATAGTTAGAATATTGAACTGATATTCAAAATTCAAACCGGGTTTAGAAATTTGATATTTTGGATAGTTAAAGTAAAATTCTAAAACTCAAAATGTTTTGGTTATTTGAAATTAGAATATTTGAATCAAAATTCCAAATTTCTAAAAATCTAAAACGTTTCAAAGTTGAAATTTCAAAGTTCGAAGTTAATTTTCAATGATCAAAAGACGAAAAATGTTACTGAACTGTACATTATTAAGCATAAACTTTCTGATCAAACAGTATATTAAAAACTCAAAAGTTTAAAATACAAAAATCGTTTTTTGGAAATTTGAATTTTGAACATTTAAGGTAAAAATCTATAATATCAAAATTTTAAAACCTGTTTGGAAATTTGAAAATTTAGATTTTTGAATTAAAAATGTTAAATTTCAATATTCCAAATCAGTTTGAGTTTTTGAAAGTTAGATATTTGAACTAATATATTAAAATTCTAAAACTCTAAATCATTTTAGAAATTTGAACTGTTAAGTGTTACACGGACCATATATAGTGAAAATGCATAAATTCTTTAAAGTAACACCAATGAGTCAAAATCATGTCTGTCTTTTTATGATATCTCTAGCATACAGAGAAAGACTTATGAAAATTATGAGTATATAGCTAAGATATGACAATTAAACTGCAAGAAAATACTGCACAATATAAGTGCCGGAATAACAAAGGTTGTATCTACCGTTTCGTTGTTTTAGTGTTTGTCAAGGTCACACCACTTTTAATATTAGCTCAAACTTGTAACAATAGGGAGGAAGAAGTACGTATTTAGCAATATTTTCGTTATGGGGCATACTGAAATTATTTTTACTTTTTATTTTTCTCCATAAAAATAGAATTTTTAGGTTCTGAAACCTGTAATTTTCTGAAACATAATACTTTTAGGAATTGAACAAAATTAACATGGGTCATGCAAAAATTCTACATTTGTCAATTTTCCCCTTTGTACGTCACAGTGTCTCTTTTAAAAATTTTCTTCTGCTTCTGGGTATTAAACCAATGAACTATGTACATTTTTAAGATGAGGAGGGGTGCTTCTTCACAATTGATATTTGAACATTTTCAGCTTCTTCTCTGCATCCACTCAACCAATTTCAACCAAATTTGGCACAAAGCATTTATGGGTGAAGGGGAACAAAATTGTGAATTTCATGGTCCCTGCCCCCATGGGGCCTGAGGGGTGGGGCCAAAAAACCACTTCTCTGCTCCTGGGTATTAAATAAACTAATCAAAATTGCTTAAATTTTTCATTTTTGGATGTACACTTTTTGTTGAGTAATTGTGTGACTAACAGGGCTGTCACAGCACTTCTTGGTATAGGGACCGGGTCCCTCTAAATTGGGAAAAATCCTCGACATTTTTGTCAAATTGGGAAAATTAACATACTTACAAGTATAATCCCCCCAAGCAAAATATTTAATCACGTAAGCCATTTATTACTTAAAAATCAAGTCTATGTGAAAGGCAAAAATTTACAGGACATAAGGTCTGGTAAAATCTATATAAAATTTAACCAGACCAAACATTAACTTACTAGACAGGCCTTTTTTCTTTAAATTAATTCATATATCGATCATTATGTAGCAGAGATTGAAAAGGGGGGGGGGGGGGGTTGGTTAATTCATACTGTTAAATTGAACCTTAAATAAATCAAGAATTAAGATTATATAGAATGATTTCATTGAAATGAACACGTTACTATTTAAATTTTTCTTTGTCTGAAAATATATTAATGCTTTGCAATCTTCTCTTTGGTATTAATCAACCATTTATGATGAAATAAAATTTATGATAAAGGATGACTGCACTTAAGGACATGCGGAATTTGCGACAAAATAAACTTTCAAAACAAACATTTTTCTTTTCATTGCAAGAATGGTCAACATCCAATCTACAACTTTATCTAATTACGTTTAATAAAAGTGTATATTTACGAAGTTCGAATCTGTTTTCAAAGGCAGGGGTCATCACAATTTCTTAAATCTCCGTTCGATAATGAGGACGCCCACTTTTTCACTGACTTTATACATAGTCAGCGCATGTTTGTCTATTGTTCTACGTTTAACAATAGTTGTATATTTGCATAAATAATAATGTGTCAAAAGGAGATTAATAGACAAACATGCGCTCATGGTTAAAAAGAGAAAAAACTGCTTCTTCTTACATTCGTTCTCTGTGTTGTAACTAAGGATTGTGACATGTTGAATATTATAATTCACCACGTGATTTCTTACCTCAGGTAACTTTGTGAATACTTAATTCCATCGCGTGACTTGTAAGGTAGCATGTGCTAACTAGGACATTGTGTTCGAACACGTTTAGTCATCTGGCATTGATATAAAATCTGCTTTAATTACATTGACGTGCTCATATTGTTAATTTCGTTTTGAAACCTTTGTCAGAAGTGTATTTGTGCCATACAGAATGGAGAGGGAAACTTGAAAGAGTGGTCACGTTCTTTTTTCCAAACATGTCATTGTTATCTATCAAGTCTAATTTTAGACTCATTCTTACAATATTAGCTCCACCTCTCATGCATACGTAATGTTCAATCAAGGGCAGGTAAGTGTAAATTCACTATATTTGGAAAGCAGTAAGGACAAAAAACATTGAATCATTTTATTGTATCACAGTCTAAAATCATTTTAAGATTTAAATGTGGTTCCAAATTGACAGTATTCTTTCATAAACATACAAAAGTGAGATAAGGTTTAGAAATAAAAGCAACAGAAGCAACCGAAAAAGACCCAAAAACAGGCGTTAAGTGCAGTCATCCTTTCCAAAATTTTGAAACATGTGGCCCCAAGGTCAGTGCTTCCTGTGGGGTGGGGTGCACAAGTGGTGGTTATAAAGTGGAAATGCATTATCTCTACTCTGGTCTACCTCTGGGTATAAGTAACCAGAGTAAGCATGATAAGTGTATTATTATGATAAGCTATGGTGCCTCTTTCAAAATTGTGAATTTCATGGATTTTGGTTTAAAACATGAACCAAATTCAATTGCTGGAAAGTTGTTACATGATACTCAGGTGACCTATAAGGCGCGTGGGCCTCTTGTAGATTCATATATCATGTTCATGTAGTTTACTAATCCAATCTACAGTTGACAAAAAAAGTTGATCAGAACACTTTCAATGTCCCTTACAGAAAAAACTAATAGAAACTTACAAGTGTTTTATAATCCACTTATTAGCAATTTATAAGTCACTTATAAATTTTTAAATTTACTTATAAGTGTACTATAAGTCAAAGTAAGTATAAGTGAGGAACGTATTTCGTTAATACTTCACTTATAAGTAAAGAATAGCTACATATCAGTGAATATTTCACTTATACCTCACTTATAAGTGAAGATCAGTATGGTATGAGCAAGAATAAGTGTGGACTTAGAATTTTTACCCTATACTAGACTTCTCTCAAGGAGCATTATGGGTATTCAAGGTAACAAATCAGAAAGTTTGTCTCTGCAGAGATGAGCAACAAGAATTTGAAACTAAGTTAGTGTCTGTCAAAGGATGTTGTTGGAGATTTCAGATTTATTTTGAGTATGCCTTCACATCAGGTACAACAAGTAGGTTCTATTTACATAATCTCTCTATTTTAACTTCCTTTGCCTGAAATTTTGAATCAATTGACTCAATTGCTTTCAGATTTCATAAATTTGAAGAAACCTCAAGGTCATTAAATCTTGTTGCCTTTTTGTCCAACATTCTTGTTTGTAAACTGAATTAATATGTAAAGTTTGCATCATCAAAGAAATGTCATATGAAAGGGATTTTTTTCATAAAATTTTAACTTGATTATTTCATCTAAAGTGGAGATACATATGTATATGTAAAAAAAAAAAAAAAGCTTTGAACATATCATGCAACCCCTGCATGATTGGAAGTTCTGTTCTAAATTAAGACCTTACAGGTAGTGCTGTACTTCACTTATAAGTGACTTATAGATGACTCATACTTGATAAAGTATGAAGGGTTAATGCTTGACTTATAAATCACTTATAGTCACTTATAAGTGACTATACTTGCAAAAGGCATAAGTGGCTAATACTGGCTTATAAGTCACTTACAGGTCAAGCAGCTCATTTGCATATAAAATCCTAATGAGTAACTTATTAGTCACTCAAAAGTTAAATGTATCAGTGAAGTGTAAGTTCAGAATAAAGAACTTATAAGTAAAAGAATAAATCACTTATAAGTCACTTATCAGAAATTTCTGTAAGGGGTTGTAGGTTTGTTCAATTTCTTTGTTGTCTTATATTTTCAGGAATCATTCTCATATTGGAGTAGAAAAATCTATGATCAGAGGGAAAACGATGTCCTCAAAAGCAGATATCCTCTGTATCAGGAGAAAACCCTTAATGGAAAAAGAAATCATTTGTGTTTGTCAGGTATGATTGATATGATAAGTACTAGTGATGAACTGATTGTTGCCAACAATTGATTGTCGATCTTTTGGAGCTCTTCAATACTACTAATTGATTATTTAAAAAAAAGTCGCCAACATCACTGACAAAATTTTACACCCAAATAAACCCTTATTATTTATATCAGCGATGTCGGCGACTTGTTTCATAATCGATAAGAAGCAGGAATCAAAATTAACTTTTTTGACCACTAGCAAATTTTAGGTAGTGGAATTTTTTTTTACTAGCAATATTGAACTTTCACTAGCCTTTTTATTAGCTCAAGTGAGCTTTTCTGATCACCCGTTGTCCGTCTGTCTGTCTGTCGGTCCGTCTGTAAACTTTTCACATTTTCAACTTCTTCTCATTCAATCCATTTTTAGCTCACCAGAGCCAAAGGCTCAAGTGAGCTTTTCTGACATTTTGTCCTTCGTCCGTCCGTCTTGCTGTCCGACTGTCCGTCTATCTGTCCGTCTGTAAACTTTTCACATTTTCAACTTCTTGTCAAGAACCACTGGGCCAATTTTAACCAGACTTGGTACAAAGCATCATTGGGTGAATGGGAGTTTAAATTCTTAAAATGAAGGGCCAAGTCTTCTTCCAAGGGGAGATGATCAAGAAAAGACAAAAATAGGGTGGGGTCATTAAAAAATCTTCTCAAGAACTACTGGGCCAGAAAAGCTGTAACTTATGTGGAAGTATCCTGGGGTAGTGTAGATTCTAAATTGTTCAAATCATGATCCCCGGGGTTAGGGTTGGGCCACAATAGGGAATCCAAATTTTACATAAAAATAGATAGGAAAAAACCTTTAAAAATCTTCTTCTTAAGAACCACTGGGCAAGAAAAGCTGAAACTTATGTGGAACACCCCTACTAATGTGTTCGGAACCTTTTATTTTTCGGTGTTCTGCAAATTATAAACCAGATGACTTTAGAGTAGCTCTGGCAGTGGCTCTGGCAAGAGTTAGCGAGACTACAGAGAGATAGGGTAAATTGTTCACGGAAATGTGGCTAGGAAGTGACTAGCACGTGGAGACAGTTAATGAAATTGCTACTATGTGATCCAGTTTTGGAATAGTCAGGATATGTAAATGACATTGGCAACAATGTGACCCAGTCCTGGAATACTAAAACCTTGGATAATGTGAATATGGTGAACAAAAAAGTTATGTTGCATATTAGTTTTCACCCTATAATATCATTCTATAGAAATGTACTTCAATCGATCTCTCTTGAATTCATTCAAAGAAGAAGGTACGGTTTGAGCTTTATTGTGCCCTAAAAATTAAATGTTCTTAAAAAGTTATGAAATTGGCTTTAACAATAGTTGAGTAGATGAATACGATAAATCATTAAAGAATATGGCATGAAGGAGGACCTTTCTGGAAATATGGCATCATTAATTTGGTACATTTCTAAGTTTAATGCAGAAAAGCCTCAAAATGACTCATTTCTGTGCTAATTTTCCTTTAGAAAATAGTGTCTGCCACCGTCGCCCACTTTAATTTTTGGATATATTATGTAAACTGCTATGAAAAATCACATATATCTAAATCTCTTTGGGCGACGGTGGTAGAGCATGTTTTCTGAAAGAAAATTCCACTGATTACAGAAAATTGATGTCTTCTGCAACTTTTTAAGAAAATACGGGAAAATGTACAAGTTTATGACGTCACAATTAGCATTTAGGAGGTCATATGAGAAAAACGATCTGTGTATCCTTACTGCAGGGAATTCCTATGATTTAGAAAGAACGAATTTTGATATGACTTTCATATTTTAGAAGAATATAGGGCATAATTTGTATTGAAACTGTACCTTGTTCTTTAAACTATAAGTATTCTCTATGATACAATTTTCTGCTGTCATGACTGAATATTTCTTTTTGGACAAATATTTTGCATGGGAACCGGGACTATATTTTTTGGCGTCAGATTAGCAAATAAGGCACCAATGTGACTTTAACTGACAAATCAGCTGAATGAGAATTGCATTATGGGTTACTACAAATACTACAGGAATTTTACGCTATTGTACTATCGGTGAATACAATTGACAGGTGGATTCCCTGGCCAACACACGTGATCACGAGTATTGTTATGTAAAAAATGTTTTGTCGATTTAAATACATATGAGAAGCTGCTCATTTTCCTTACCCTTGAAGTGCTGGTGTTCTGAACTTGACACTAACTAAGTATACATCTAATTGAACATATTTTTTCTAGTTAACAACAAATTAAAAACACCCGTGATATCTTTCATAGTTTCTAATGTTTGCATTTTATTCATAAGAACATTTGTATTTTGCACTCCATGGACATGATCATAGATTGACCTAAACCACATGTTCGAAGTAACATGTAAACATGTATTTGGCATAAACGTATTCAATCAACAACTGGTCAGTCTCGTGGTAAGATCCTCTGTGTGCATTAATAGCAATAGCCATATAAGGCAAACAAAGGTTTGTCAGTGTAGATGATATTACACATTTTTTTTTACCAGCGCATTGGTCGCTATTTAGCTGTAATTTTTCCAGTAAACTATGATAAGATATATTAATTGTTATATGCATTAAATGTTGATTAAAACATACTGAAAATACTAACTATGAAATCAATTTCGGGAGAAAAGGCACGGGGGGGGGGGGTGGCTCTTAATCGTACCGAATGGCAAACATATACATTTATTTACATTGAAATTTTCCCTCTCTAATAATAGACTTTATATATGTAAAGGAGAAAAAATTCTAATGTATTAGATTTTAAACAATTGGTCTTTTTTAAAAACTTAAAGACACACTAGTATTATCAATTTAGTTCGCTGTAAAAATAGTTAATTAACTGTCTTAGGTGTTCCCTCATATACCCTTGCATGGAAGTCATCGTGGCCTTTTGAACTTCCAAGTATACCAGCAATCATGACAAGGACACGGTTTGAGAGACTTTCAAAGTATTTTCATATGGACGACACACAACAAAATCCATCTAAGGGGCGACCAGGTCATGACAAACTTTGTCACATCAGACCAGTCATTGACAAAGTTTCTGAGATGTGCTTAGTAAACTACAATCCTCACAAGGAGCAGTCCATTGATGAGGGAATGATCGCATTCAAAGGAAGGTTGGCCTTCAAACAGTATCTGCCCGCCAAACCTACAAAATTTGGTATAAAAGTGTGGGAACGTGCTTCACCACTAGGCCTGAGTATCGCAAGCTACCTAATGATACGATACATATCACGATATGGTCATGCAATACAACATGTATCATGATACAGCTGTCAACAATTAAAATAACTGATCTCTTTACATATTCTTGCTTGCTAGCCTCCAAAGTAGAAAATATAAAAAAAAAATATCTTGAGACCCCTAAGGCCAAAATTAATCTTTAGATTCTCATCCTAATTTGCTAAAAAATTGGGGCGGGTGGGCGGATTTTATCTTTTATAATTGTTAAATTGTAAGTATCAACAAAAGATGGACTCTTCGTACACATTTATTTCAAAACTATGTTAATGCCAATATGAACATGATGAATAGATTTTATTCTTTTCATATTCTTTTAAATATTTAAAGAAGATTCTTGCTTTATGCTGAGTAAAACATGAAATGAGTTACAAGGCAGTTTCTGGCGGAGAAATGTAATCGATTTGATGCATATTTTTCCACCAATCACTTCTGAGGTTTGTATGGAGCGTAGCTGAGTCAGTCGAAGATTGCCGATTGGCAGGTCGGAGTTTACGGAGAAAGCTGAGCGTCTTGTTGATCGAAACTACCACAAGGACCAATGAAATATAAAGGAATTGTTGTTGGATCTGGCAGATTATGAAATGGATAATCTGTTTTTAAAAACATAGATACTCTGACCTCCAAATGCAATAAAATGAGTAATTTGTACGGTACATACAATAATATATATGAGAATGGAAACCATTCAATAGAAAATACATATCAAAGAAAAGGCGCAAAGATTTACTTGTCACGATTGGCGCAAAATAATGTATTGTGACTCTTTCACAGTAGAAAAATGGTCTGATGCAAAAGTGCAGAAAAAGATTTTACGGACACATTTGTTTGTAATACAGGTATATGGAATTGCATGGAATAAAAATGTGAACACAAAAAGAATAAAAAGAAGTAAACAGTATCATCAGTTCATCAGTAATATATTTTTTTGTTATTGTTTAAACTCAAGTAACGAATTGCGATGTGAATCTGCTTGCACAAAATTTGGCTAGCTAGCTCTCATTCTATAATTCCACACTATATAAAAGAACTTTTAACCTCACTGACGCTCGCTACTTCAGGCAATGATACAAAGTTAACATCGATGATGGCTAGTAAAATTACACTGGTGTAGTGGCTTCCATATTGAATTTTCACAAAGGCGATCTGGGTTTAATCCCGAATTTGTTTGCTTAAATTTACGTTTTCAACTTTATAAATGATGTTGAGTGGTTTTTTTTTTGTTAGAGATGATAGAACATGATTTCTAGATTGGCGAAGGGACCTTTTCCTGCGTCGTCGTTAGTTCCGGTCGCTTGCAGAAGCAAATTTAAAAAATCGATTTTTTCATCTTCAATATTTTTCTGTAATATCTGTAGGGTTAGAGAGCCTCTTTTCAAAAATATTAAATATATATTTTGTTTTCGAATTGATAAAACCAAACTCTTGATAGTCGTCATATTCACTTTGAAGCGGGAGTTGAAATGGCGTAATGGTTAGCTCGTTGGATTTTCACGCTGACAACCAGGGTAAAATCTCCAAAGTGTCTGAATTTTTTTTCTTCTTCAATTTTTCAGCTTTAATTTACATTTTTAGGTCACCTGAGTTTACTCAGGTGACCTATTGCTATCTGTTTTCGTCCATCGGCGTGCGTCGTCCGTCGTGCGTTAACATTTGAACATTTTCAGCTTCTTCTCTGGAACCACTGAACCAATTTCAACCAAATTTGGCCCATAGCATCTATATGTGAAGGGGAGTA